AGATGTCAAAAGTGAAGGAGATAAAGACACCAAATTCGCTGATTGAGAGGGGCGCTATGTAGATCTTTTTCTATCGGTTCGTAGATATCTAGGATATGATCTTGTCGTTAACTAATGTCTAAAAAGGCCAAATTCAAAATAATCGTCATAATTTCCATCAGATCCTCTTACGCAACTAGCTTTTACCTAGATGCCTGCTCTAAACAAAATATCAGTCAGGATCCTTTCAGGTCAATGAGTTTATCCGAATTTTGCAAGGTCAATATGACAACAAGCAAGAGTTCATGTTGATGCTTCAACTTTTTCGAAATTTTCTAATGAAAGAATTTGAAATAACAGACAAAACCTTCCCTTAGGATAATTTTCCAGTCAAAATGCTTTTCAGTTTTAACCTTGATTTGAGCTGCAATATTCACCCAAAGCCAACGGAACCAATTGAAATAGTAATCTCCATCTGTTTAAGAAACTTTATCAGCATTGTACGGCTGCGTCTAAAATCTGCTGATGCATTACCTTTGAAGCCGTCCTTAGAACTGCATTTGCTGGCAACCATGGTCTGCCTCAGAACGCAACAGGTCAGTGCCATTCAAACACATATTTGCATGTATACATATATATATATATATATATATATATATATATATATATATATATATATAATCGAATCTTATTCTTTGCATCGCACAATCTACTATTCAGCTTTGTATGGGTCTCTCTTGTTTTTCAACGCCACGCCGTACCGTTTTAAAATTATTTTAAAATCACTTTAGAGATAAACCAACCCTCAACCTGTGTGTGTGTGCGTGTGTGTGTGTGTGTGTGTGTGTGTGTGTGTGTGTGTGTGTGTGTGTGTGTGTGTGTGTGTGTGTGTGTGTGTGTGTGTGTGTGTGTGTGTGTGTGTGTGTGTGTATGTGCGTGTGTATGTGTGTCTCAATTATCCATTTTTCTGGACGTCCCTACCACTTGCAATTCATCTGCACGTCGTACAAAATCGAGACGTCGCATCGTTTAGTTTCCAAACGTATCTGTATGTATCACGCTGGCGCTATAGCGCATAGAACTTTGATGCACGATGAGCATTGGAAAAGCTAAGGAAATTTTTACATGCTACTGGAATGTAAAAAGAGGTTCTTAGATGCCTTCAAAAAGACTCGGCCGCCCTTGGAGGATGTTACAAAAATGTGTTACGTTGGGTGCATGTGGCTAACTGATATCCATATGACAAAAGACAGCGCATCTATGTCAGCCAGTGCATGGAATAAACAATTCACGTTGATTGCATTTCAAGCATAAAAGCTTATTAATGCTGTAGACAAAACTGTTGAAGCATCTCGACGTTCATTTCTCCAGAAATTGTGACGGCCATAAATGCGGTCAAGAGCCAAATACATGATCTGCATACGTGGGGGTAAGACTCTGCCGCTGGCGACGGCTGGCTGAGCAAACGGTATCCGCTGCGGCCTGCCTGGTCAGACTTCCGCTGATTCACGCCAAACTGCCTTATGTGTTAAAAGTAAACATGCATGCGACTATGAAAACGCAAGACAGCCTTAAATCATCTAATACAAACCCTTTGGCCGGAGCTGGGTAAGAACAGAGCAAATATGTGTGGAGACCAGCAGTTTTCAGCTGGGAAAATTTGCGAGGTTAGCGCTTTTTCATTTAGAGCACATGATCATGATGATGACTTGTGGTGTGAGTTTGCAGCCAGGGTATGAAGACATCGTACACTATTTCCGGTAAAATATGCGGCCATTATCAACGCCCGTAACACCCCAGCAAAAGAACACCTGCACCAGAAATAAACCATCGATGGCGTGTGTGATTTAGATCTATGGCACGTCACCCGACACTAAGCACTTGGTCAGGAATCTGCAATGGGTAAACACATCTCAACCACTTGCAAAACCCAAGTTTGACGCCGCAAGCATGCAATTTTTATGTTTTGCATGGCACAAAAACGTCATGTGCTCTCGATTTGTCAAATTGTACATAACTGCCTCGGGTTTGAACTGGCAGCATGCATTTATGCACATACTGATACATGCAGTACGTTTGATATTGGGGGACTAGTGCCCTTAGAGAGCACTATGTGCGCACGCCCCTGCCAGAAATGTAATAGGGAGGTTCGGAATTCCAACTTCTGATGTGATATTTTATTCTGCTGATGGGGACTTACGATTGTCAAATGGACATCTTAACATATTAGATGAATAGCACTATCAATCTACCTTGCAAGAGCGCATCTCTGGTTTGGACAGTCAGAGCGTGGCAAAACAACTAGATTTCAAGAAAGCAATTTTGAAGAAAATAAAGCTTTTCATTACCGCAAAAGAAGAGACAGGCAACATTCCTGAAAAGAAGCCGTTACAAGATTTTATTTTGATTATAGTAAAAGCTAGTGTCTGAAAGACAGCTCTCTTACTTGAACTCCTCAGTGCTTCAGTGTTAGCCACTGATAGTCATCTCATAATCCATGCGGCCTTAAAGATGACGCACTGCACGGCTCTGGGTCGCTGGGCGGTTTGCAGTGGCGAAAAACCCGCCACGAAGTGCTTTTTGGCATGAGAATGAAGCGGTTCAATTGTGTGTGAAGGACTTTGCTTCAGCCCGATTTGCATATGGTTTTTGTTTACTCGACATCAGAAGCGGAAATCTGAGGTCAGATCTAGCCGAACGCTCGCTTTGAAAACATCGACCAAAAAGCAATACATCGAACACAGCAGGAATGCGCTGCGTAGTTCTGACAGGCTGCTGTTTAGTATGGAGCTGTCAGTCCTTCACTTACCTTCCTCAAAGAATTGCGAGATGTGTGGCATTACAGAGAAAATTTACTTGGCAATGCTCTCCGAGCATAATGCGAAAGGGGTGCGAATGTAGACATGACACTCAAGGCATCTGCAAATGTAAATAATGTACTAGGCAGCAGTGTGTTAAATTTTCATCTGTATTCACTCATCTGCCGAGGCTATTTGCTTGGCCAGCAACGTGGCGCCATGTAATGGTCCAGATTCGCAAGGAGAGAGCAGCTCAAAATATTACAAACGCGGCAAATCTGCGGGTTAACTTCCACAGAAAACCCATGTAACGAGGCAAAGCTATTGTTTTACATTCGTATTTCATCCCATGGCACAATATCACCATGAATTTTAGGTTGGACATTCAGTAAACCAAAGAAGGTAGATAACATGCCTGGAACATTGTGATATGTATTCACATCAGATGCGTAGTGATAGCATGAGAAGACCTTGATGGTGCGAGAACGGCATCATACTGCCGACAAAAACTAATACCAGAGCGTTTTATGGTGCATACAACGCTGGCATTCTGCTGACCACCTGATATATGGAAGCTGTCACTGCGTGATTCTGGAGGGAGGGGGTACACCTCAAATGGTTATTACGAAAATGTCTCGAGCCAAAGTTCAGGAGTCCTGGTTCAAATACGTATTGTCGGAATACAGAACAGTTTGGAGTATATGTAAGCCAGCACACATTGCTGCAAATGCAACTACGCTCGTGATGCCTCTTTGTGCTTAATCCTGGACAAAAATTAAAGATTTAGCCCACACTTTTTGATTGGGTGGATTTCTGGGATGAGCATCCATGATAAGCAGTGCTTGTTGATTGGAACCCGACCTCATCATCTGATCGAGAAATTCCAGGCCAACGGCAGGATTTTACGGTGAAACCTCGACGCAACGCAGTGCCTGGCACGTTCCGTCCTGCCCTCTGACGTCATCTGGTTTTCGGCACGGCCGCTGCCATCGGCCACAGATCAACCTAATCAGAGGCAAATAACAAGCGCTTCGAACCAACCCCGCCACGGATGGACGAATCAGAATGAAGGCGCTCCAACCAACTGAGCTATGCCATACCCCATCCAACCCATGACGAAGCGCAGCACAAAACTGATCTTGTGTTCGCTCAGGACACTCCTATTCATACAGCGTTGAGATCTTCCTAGCCCCGAAACGTTCTCATGACGCACAAACAGCTTGTACGTTCTCTCCAGAATGGCATATATCACGTAGCGCAGCTAACAGCGCTTGGGAGTCTTCAGGCCTGGTACTGGGAGAGGGCCTACTCTACACGAAAGTGCAACAAAAGGTTTGTCCAGTAGGGATACTTCAGACTTGAAATTTTTCAAGCGATTCGATTGCTCTACGCATAAAGTGGCATGGGTGACTGAGGAGAATGTCCTATGTCAGTACCAGCGGTGCTTGGTCCCACGCACTCATCGCGCAGGGTTCTAGTTTAGCTCATCAACATGGCGTTTTCCTTTAAATGGCTGTTTACATGGCGGATTGCGGTGCAGGAAAAGTATCAATCATATCTTTCTTGTTCTAAAAAATGCAGCTCAATGCCTCTTCTGCTTATAAATCAGCGGTTGTGGAGACGGATTCGATTCACCCACGGCTCCATATCCCTGAACAGTCAGTTGTATCGCAGAAGTACGGACGCTCCGAGCGTTCCAAGAGTCGTATAAGGTCCGATGACGCCCAGCGTGTGTGATTTCAACCAGATTACAATAACAGTGTCAACTGCCAGCTGGGTTTACCATCCGAGCTGCCACAGCCTCATCCCTCGGGCTTGATGGCGCACAGTCTCTGTAAGTCACTGCAGACAGCGCCAGCCGGCACCGCGAGCTCCAAAGGAGCCAGCCGAGCCGAGCTGGGGGTCGCGCCAGCTGGGAGCCTGCCCCCCGAGCACGCCTGCGCACCGGCGCCGGCTCGGGCCGCCTCGCCGGCTGGCAGGGTCTGCAGCCGCTCTAGACTTATGGTAACGGCTCAGTGCACCTTGTCGATCATCGGACACTCTGCCGCAGCTGGTCTTCTCGTCAGACACCGGAGTGGCTACCAGAGCGCCGGCACCGCCGCTTACCGGCAAGCACTCAGAGCTTTCCCAGCTGCATTTCTGACCGTACACCAGTGAAAGTGTTGCAGTCAGCGCATGCGCACTGAGTGCGGGTATAAAAGCGGCCCGGCACTGGCACCGGCCCGTCAGAGCTCAAAGATGAGGCTTCTGTGTATAGTGGCGCTGGCCGTCGTCCTTGGTGAGTACCAGAACCGCGCCATCTTGGATCGGCAGTGACCTGACCCGATGTAACGTCTCACCATCGAAAGCGTCGGCATTGGGACATCCACCCTGGGCACCGCTCGGCAGGCGCGGAACTACCATGGATGACAGGCTTGGGAGCGTGGCAGTGGACGGACTTTTACTTTCGTTCAGTGTTCCTCTGGGTCGAATGTCAATTAGCGTTTATGACCAAGTACTAATGCCCCGCCACGCAATTATGCGTCTTAAGTACTACCTGCAAGCATAGGGCTGATACATATGTTTAAAAAGTGATGCTGACACTGCTAATTATTCCGTAATAAAGGTGTTGATGACTTCCAACTTGGTACGTGGCATAGCAATCCTAATTTGTTCAGGGTTTGCCTGTGTTGGATGGCGTTAACACCATGTAAGACCACGTATATTACAAATACCTGGCGTTGTGGTAATTACCCAGACATCATTACGACAATGTGTACCTTAAAAAGTAGGGGAATGCCACGTGAGAGAAAAACTCGCAGCTCATTAGCCCGTCAGTTATTAATCGTAAGCGGTGTCATTATATCTTTTTAGATGTGTGTTCCCTCAATGCCTGTTACTGCTTTTTAAAACGAAATCAAAACATATCCATAAGGATTTAGTCATGACTATTTGTTAGTAGTTTTTATGTTGCAACAACGATATGTTTTTTCATAATTTACTTTTTATTGACATTCCCATATCACAATGCATAGCATCGTCATTGGCATAGCATAAAGATGCCATTTCCGGCACCGCCTCGTCCTAAGTTACAACAGGGCTCCAGGCGGTCGATAAGAAACACAAACATGCGGTTACCAACACACAATATAGCAGAGCCCATACCTGTTCACGTCCAAAGAGCACGTAATGATCCTACGCACGACTAATTCCAGCCAACAGGCGCTTTGGTAAACTGATCAAACGAAGCGTTGGCTGAGTCTGCAGGAGGAGCTGGTGTTAAGTTTGCAAGGACAGCGTTTGGGAATAATCGCAGCGACAAGATATCTATACTTGGGAACTTATCATGATGTCCCAGTGCGCTTATCTAACTTCTTGTATGATGGTCGCAAATGTTGCGTAAGTGGACAATACCTGCTCTCAGGTACTCGGCGATATTAGCACCACTGATTGACTCCATCTTTAATTGCGTGTTAAGCCACAGTACGTCTGGCTGAAATGAGCGATTTCGAATTTTATTCCGAGGCAACTTTGTTGGAACTCTGGGCACGCGTCAAAGTTTCCTATTAGAATTATTTCCTAAGTTTCAAACATCTGTAAGCAGTTGTATATAACATACAGCTTGCAACGAATATATTTGGGGAGAGAATTAGGTCATCCCTAATGAATATCTCCCAGTTGCAATTTTTCCCTAAGGAGCCTTTTGACCCATGTGGCTTTTTAACTATTAATCAAAGAAAATATGTTGGAAGACCTAAAGCCTCCGTTTCGCACTCGTTTTCGTCACCCTGTGTTTTACTCAGTCACGTTTTCCGTTCCAGACAAATCGAAAATGGTATATTCTATTTGTTTAAGCTGGGGAGGCGATGGACTGGGTAACCCAGTTAGGGGTCCATTAACTGCGATAGTGCCAGCCCCTCGACAAACAACATTCTCCCCGCTGCAGTTATGTTCCGTGGAATCCATGGGAGAGTACTCTGCTTAGTTTGTCTGTTTTAGTGGGGTAATTCAGCTGGCGCACATCTTCATTTTCAACTGGTAGGTACTAAACGGATGTGCAAGGCCACTGTACATGTTCCTCATCGCAGATACAGCTCGCTAAACCTCATCTCGAGCCTGTCGGAAACGTACCAGGTTTTCCTTAGGTTAAGCTTCAGTCCTAATATTTCTCAAACAATTGACAAATTCAACAATTGACAGACAAAATTCGAAAGCTTCTGATGCTGATTATCCAGAATCATTTAAAACAAGTGTTGTATTGTTCGCGAAAGCAGGAAATTTCAAGGTCTCGGTTTGTATGCGAATTTGCTTGATCAGCAGCAAGTTCTGTATTGTATTCACTAGCGGTTCGGCGCACAGCACGAAAGGATGGCAGCTTAATGGACATCTTGGTCTTGGGCCGCGATGAATCGTGCATGGCTCAGATAGGTGATCACTTAACGCCAATGCAGACGTCCAGAAAGAAAACGTTCGAACCCAAGATTTAAAATATTTCCCGAAATCAACTTTAGCTACATAAAAATTTGGGAAATGCCAACTGGCTCCATCATACACCTCGAGATAGTCACAGTGGGCTGGCATTCCTCGAATGTTTCTTTCCTTAGTGCACCCCATCATATCAAGTACCCGCCGTATATTGTCGGCTATACATCGGCCCGGGCTGAAGTCGGCTTGATGTGAGAGAGCAAGTGGTTCGTGGGCAATAGTCATACGCTGACGTCGTCATTTATTGAAACACAAAAACCATCGGCACTGAACTTCGGCATCATTACGCTCCCCTCGCAACAGGCTGTGTAGAAGTGTCAGGTGCGATGCCGGCAGTGGCGCGCCCTCCGGCGCGCCCCGAGGGCAGGTCGAGGTGTTCGGGACGGCGAGCCGCCGGCGCGTGACCCCCACAGGGGCATTATCGGCGCCCGCCCGCTGCCGGAGCAGAAAATTGCCGTCGCGCGCGGCCACGGATGCGCCCTCCACCACACGCGCAGCAATCACGCGTCCTGTTCCCGGTGAGCAGTGAAAGTGACAGCGGCCGTTGCGGGGCGCAGCGTTGGCTGGTGCTGGCGCCCTGTGCAGGGCCGCGCCCAGTGCAGTCTTCAGTGCTACGTTCTTGTGCGCATCAGCGGTCACCGTGCAGACATGGCGGCGGTCGCCGTCGGTCCGGCGGCGCCGCGTTGGACGGACCCAGCTCGTGCTGCCGGCGGGGTGGACCGGTGCGCCGGGGTTCGAGAAGGCTCTGCCGGGCTCACCTGCTGACCGATTGCGGCTCCACCGAAGACGAAACACGAAGCTAACGGATTTGTGTGGCCTTTATCGCCCGCATCCCCTGTGACGGATCATGGTGATGGCGCTTATCACTAACGGTAAATCGGAGTGGAAACTGCCATTCAAGGTCGAGAGACACTTTTTGCTGCAGGAAGGCGGCCACCTGGGGTTTATCCCAGGCAGGATGACGCTTCCAGAATTCCAGACAACGGGTACAGCGCCGGAGCCTTGGTAGAGGTGGTCCGTCTCGAAAGCTCCGTTAACTCAACCCGTACTGCGTGACCACTCGGGAGAAGACAATGCACGAGAGCTGCTCATGTGTTCCGCTAGCTGTAGGCCGCGGCGGCCGTCACGCGGCCGTTTTGCTGCGGACGGGACGGCCTCTCAATTATCGGACCCTTGCTCTGCAGAGCATAACTTTGTGGTAGGACTGGTCATATCAAATTTCATTGAGGCAGCTAGGCCCACTTCCAGAATGAAGTAACTCGATTACATTCCAGGATATCAATGGCAGGTCTTTGTTACCTGTTCATAATGTTTTTCATTTGTATAAACGTAGACAGGGCTGTGCTTGCAATCACATATATCATGTCACTACAGTTATGCAACATACTGTGATTGCCTGAAGCTGGTTACGTACTATGTGTATAATCAGCTCTGTAATATAATATACAGTATTATATATATATATATATATATATATATATATATATATATATATATATATAATACTGCCGCCTGGAGCTGACAAATGATACACTGATCTGTTGGCGTTGCATGGAAGATCAAGCGGGGTGTTTGTGCAACACCGTATCTCATTTAAATAGCACAGGAATATAAAATTGGCGGGTGTCTCCGACCCCAAAACCGTACAAATGTCTTCGCGAAACCAATGGTCCTTCTAGGCCCAGCAAGCTGCGATCAATGTTCAATTATCTATGTGTTCTTTTACAATGTTGTGGTTGGAGCCAATAGACGTTTAAAGCATTACTGCTTGTTCTTGTAGCATCACTTTCTTCGAAAAGCCGGCTGTTGGTGAACTGCAGTTTTTGCTTGAAACCGAGGACATATCTAGGTGATGGTGTAATTCTATGCTTTTTTGGGTTAGTCGAACAACATGACATGATGACTAGATTTTTCCACCAGTTTTGAAACTTACCCCGAAAGTAGTTCATCATAACCCGTCACAGGGATGCGAGTGACAAAGGCCACAAAAATCCGTCGGCCTCGTGTTTCATCTTCGGAGGAGCAGCAATCAGTCAGCATTGAGCCAGCTCCGAAACTTACCTCTACCTGAACATTATCGCCGTACATACCAGTCGGTTAGCGAATGAGACCAGCTTCCAAAGGTCATTTTGCTGACGTGTTATTTGGATATCACGCTTATTTTGACAACTAACCCCCCCCCCCCTCCCCCCCGGAATTGGCGCAAGGTATGTAGTGATAAAGTATGGTAACATTTTGATTATATCGCTAAAACTCGGTGAGCTGTCATCATACTGATTTAATTTCCTTGCTTTTAAGTATAATTATTTTTAAGGTACATGATCCCAATCAAACTTATGATGCTGGGGTCTCGGACGGGATTGGCACAATAAAGACGTTACATAAGCTTCAGATGTGACCTCAGTATGCCACAAACATGAAGCCATGGTCAGCAGATCAGCAGATGTCTGGTCGTTGGGTCTCTGCCATGGATAAGCTATTTTTGCAAGCTTTCTAAAAAAAAACAAGCCAACTAGGATGAAGCGAGATACCTTTACGTTGGGGCCTACGGAGGTGCTGGAGCGATGACAACCAGTGGCTCCATGCGCATTGGGGATAACCTAACTAAAGCATCACTGTCACCTCCCGTGTGACATTTCTAGCCACCTCTCATGCGACATCAAGATGGAGGTGCATGCGCCTCGTTTTAATGATCTCTTCACGTCTGCTTGCTTGTGCTTCAGCCACGTAATGACGTCAGCGCACGATCGTAAAATGCTGCTGACCTGAACAAACGGAGCCTACCGATCGCGTTGTGAGCCCCAGCTGTCCCTTTCGACCCACTGCCATCACACCACATGCTCCAGGGCCTGACAGACGACACCACGCCAGCATCTTGTGCCTAGTTATTTTACATTTCATTTCACAAAACCTGCCAAGGGTGAGCGCATTGTGAAAGACGTCTCCGTTGCAAAACTCGGCCGGCCCGGTGGTCCGGTGCCTGGGGCGGTGGCCGTGTCGTAACCGCAGCGCCGCCTGGTCAGCGCCGGTTGCGTTGCCGCCCGACTCGGCCGCGTCCGTCGTCGCACCATCGGCAGTCCTGCCAAAGTCAAGGCCGCGGCGGCGCGGCGGCGAAGGCCTTGAAAGGGCGGCACTTTCGTTCGGCGGCCGCCGGCGGGCTGGCGCGAGCGCTGGGCGGGGCTGGGATCGGAGGTCACGGCGGCGCCTCGCGGGAGGACCGACGAATGGCTCTGGAGCCGTTGCAGCGTGTCGCGCTCAATGGAGCGTGCCAGATCGATCTGGGGCGTAAAGGGTGGGTGGAGCGAAGCAAGAGACTGGTTTGTGTGGCGTTAGCTCTCCTTTCCTCACATGTAGGAAACGTGCATCACATGCCCGCCAAGGTGCCTCGCCAAGGTTACACGTGCTGACTAATAAATGAGCGGACTGCATGTGATCAGGCGCTCTGCGAATGATGATGTCATGCGGTAAGTGTTGATCACACAAGAACCTTTTTCGTCGAAAGCTATGTCCGGTCTGTTCGGTTTCTAGCCAGTTCGCACCACCGCCATAAGCCGCGGGAGCGGGGCTTTGGCGGCCCGACCAAGTCTGGAGCTGTGTCACTGACGACCTCTCGCCCTCTTTTCAGCGGACGCCTCCAGTCTGCGGCAGAAGCGGCAGCTGATCCGCAAAAAGGAGAACAACAACATCGAAGAGCTGTGCAAAGACCGCGGCGACGAGTTCTTCCGTTTGGAGACCGACGGAGACTGCAAAGAGGTCTACAGGTCAGTCGCGTGACCTGGTAGGCTGGCGGAGGTCTTTGAACGGTCGCGCTGCAGCTTCTTGCCTTTGTCGTCAGCCATTATGTTGCCGATTCGTGGCGCGTGCCTTCCCTATGTCAGTTAAGGCAGTAATTGTACTTCAGCAGAAACAGATGTTACGTCCAACATACTAAAATGTGTCGCGATCTGGCGTTGTCTTTCAAGCTAATTTGAGTAATGTTAGCGTTTTTCATCTCATCGTGTTATCCGTATCATTTATTTTCGCATCCTTTATTTTTGCATGCTCCCGGACATGGTTTAGAGGATCACGAAATATGTTTAAGCCATAACAAATTCAAATGAGCCTATTCCAAAACTCCTTGCTACCAAAACACATCAGCATAAACCCTGCGCCACAATCAGCAGACAACAAGCGCCACATCACTCGTCTGTTGATTCCACATCGTGTCCAGCTTTTGCTAAATTGCGTCACTTCCTTTCTGGTACGATTTGTCGGACCACGTTAGGGCCGTAACTGCAGGGCTTCTCTTATCCGTTCCTCTGTGCTGCTTCGAACGAACCGGTCACGGACATCAAGATTACGTGTGACTTTGTCTGGGTATATTGATTCGTTTGGCTATTTTGATGACCATCTGCTACGAAATACCAGTTTGTACCTCTCTGCTGTGGATGTTATACAAGGGTGTACTGCGTTTTTGAATATTATCATCATTTTACACAAGAGCGTAAGTTTGCTGTTCATCTCACAAAACCCATTGAATTTCGATGCCCGTCAGTCTGTCTCGTACTTGCCGCCACCCAAAGCACATTGCCGCCCATTTTAATGTAATAGCATCGAGCGCTGCCATCCTCTTCTAGATAGCTCCTGGTGTGGCGCCCTAACTCCTCCCTCGGTGTGCCGAATGATCGCCGTCCGCTTTTGCCAGCCTGGAAATAACGTTTGTATAATTTTACAGATGCGACAGAGGCCGGGCAGTGACCCGGTTGGCCAAGGTCAAATGCCCCCCGAGCCTTGCTTTCGATATCATGCGACAAACTTGCGATTGGAGTTACAAGGTTAAGAACTGTGATCAAATATCAAGTGAGTAGTTGCTGTTGCATGTCGGATCGGTCACGTGACTGCGGCTCGGGCGTGGTGGCGGCCCGGCGCCGGGGCATGTGACCGCCCGCGGTGCGGTGTCGGCCCGCCACCTGACCCCCGCCGGTGTCACTGACCCCTCTCACCCGTTGACCCGTGCGTGTCATGTGGTGACCCGCTCCCATTCGTAGGTGCACGCGCGCCGGTCTTAAGCGGATTCAATGTCCCGATGGTTTGGCTTTTGATGTGCGTCAGCAGACATGCCTCTGGAAGAGGCACGTCAAGACCTGCGACCTGCTCTCAAGTAAGTGGCGGCGAGGCGAACACGGTGGAGGCGCGCCCGTGCAAAGGAGCCGGTGTACAGTGGCGGCGGTGGCGGCGGAGGCGGCGGCGGCGGCGGCGACACATAGACGCACAAACACAGACACGTGAACGGGCGGCGGCTCCACCACAGGCTTTGTGTGCTCTTCGTCGTCGGCTGACGTCGGGCGGCGGGTGGCGGCGACGGGCCGAGGAGACGCTGGCAGTCTCCGAGCCTTCGGCATCTTGTCATGTGTTTGTGTGCTGTGCGTGTGAGTGTGTGTATGCGAGAGAGAGAGAGAGAGAGAGAGAGAGAGAGAGAGAGAGAGAGAGAGAGAGAGAGAGAGAGAGAGAGAGAGAGAGAGAGAGAGAGAGAGAGAGAGAGAGAGAGGGAGAGAGTTGAGTGGGTAAACTAGTGTACTGATTGCTGGTCTGGTGTGAGTTGGGGCGTAACGGTGCCTAAATGCCTGATACGCTACACCATAATTAAACACACTTTGATGCTGAGTAAGCCTAACCGGTCCCATGAAGCCGAGATGGGTATTTATATGATCCAGAGAGCACACCGCTCACGTAGTGCCATGGTGTTATTGGTGTTCTTAGACTAGTTATTACGGTTAATGGTGTCCTCACACTAGGTACTTAAGGGCTTCGAGTTAGTGACAATCTTAGACTAAATACTGAACTCGTGCTGGTGGTGTTGGTTCCCGATGTTTGGTGCTGGTACGCCTTTCTTCGGAGTCATTTTTGTGTGATGTGGTACCCTAAGCCATATTTGTTTTCGCTCCCCTGGTACGCAAGCTATAGCTGTTTGAGCTTTAGACATCATGCAGAGGAATGTTTGCCTTCTTTCCGTCACATTCAGTTCAGAGGCTGCGGAAATGGCTGATTTGGAATGCATCGTTCAAATAGTCGGTCACAAAAATCAGCTTCCGTCAAACGCTTGTAGCCGTCACTCAACTTTATGACCATCAGTCCCTCTCAGCGTCATGCAATGGTTGCAATTGTCTGCAGCGTCATGCAATTCGTCATGCATCACGAAACCTTTGTCCATTTAATTGTAACATGATACCTTGTTCCGCGATCCTCTTCTGCAATCTTTGTTTCTCCTGGGTTGACCGGCCGGCACGAGTGACCCTAACCCGCCGCTGCGACCGCCCTCAGAGCCGAAAAAAGTGCTGCCCTTGCTGAAGACCGACGAGCCACTCTGCCCCACGGGGCAGCTGGCATGCGGCAACAGCGAGTGCCTCGACCGAGAGTTGTTCTGCGACGGCAACCTCGACTGCACTGATGATTCGGACGAGAACGCCTGTGGTGAGTGCGGCGCGAGGTCACAGGCGCCTGCGTTTAGTGCGGTACGAGGTCACAGGCGTCGGTGGTGAGTGCGGCGCGAGGTCACAGGCGCCTGCGTTTAGTGCGGTACGAGGTCACAGGCGTCGGCGGTGAGTGCGGCACGAGGTCACAGGCGCCTGCGGTGACGACAAGGTCTGAGCCGCGTGTGCTATCAGTCGAGTGCTGTGCTGTCGGTGCGGGCTTTGGCAGGTCTTGCTATATGCTTATGTGCCCGACGGTGATATTTCTGCTCATGGGAGTGAATTTGTGAAAGGTGCAGCTATAGGCTTATCAAAATAGGTCAAAACTCGTCTCTCAAGTCATCTCGGCACCTCCTGGGTTCTCGATCGTCACGGTGTGTGCTGTTCACTAAGGCCATTGCTGATGTTCAAGACTGGCGACACCTTGTCAGTCCCATTTTTTGACGTTTGATTCAGCGTGACCACAGACCACCCGTGCGTGACGCCGTCGTTCCCTCTCGACAGAGGTCGGCGTGGACCCGAACGGCGCCGGCGTCTGTGAACCGGCCGACTGCGCGTTGCCCGAGTGCTTCTGCTCGCCGGACGGCACCCAGATCCCAGGCGCCCTGGAGCCGGCGCAGACACCGCAGATGATCACCATCACCTTCCACGGCTCCGTCAACGTCGACAACATCGGCATCTTCCAGGACATCTTCCGCGACGACCGCCAGAACCCGAACGGCTGCACGGCCAAGGGCACCTTCTACGTGTCGCACAAATACACCAATTACTCGGCCGTGCAGGAGCTGCACCGCAAGGGCCACGAGATCGGCGTGTTCTCCATTACCAACGAGGACGACCCCGACTACTGGTCGTCGGGCACCTTCGAAACCTGGTATGACGAGATGGCTGGTGCGCGCGACATCATCGAGCGGTTCGCCAACATCACCGACGGTTCCGTCACGGGCGTGCGAGCGCCGCAGCTGCGCGTGGGCGGCAACAACCAGTTCTTCATGATGGAGGAGTATGGATTCCTCTACGACTCGTCCATCACGGCGCCGCTGGGCCGCGTGCCCATCTGGCCGTACACGCTCGACTACCGCATGCCGCACAAGTGCCTGGGCACCTCGCAGAACTGCCCGTCGCAGTCGCACCGGATCTGGGAGATGGTCATCAACGAGCTGGATCTGCGCGAGGACAGGAACGTGGACGAGCGCCTGCCTGGCTGCCATCTGCTCTCCTCGTGCACCAGCATCCAGTCCAGCGAGCAGTTCGCCCAGATGCTGCGCAGCAACTTCGACCGCCACTACACGACCAACCGTGCACCACTCGGCCTGCACTTCACCGCCGGCTGGCTGAGCGGCAACAAGAACTTCAAGAAGGAGCTCAACAAGTTCATCGACGAGATGCAGGCCAAGAACGATGTCTATTTCGTCAGCAACCTGCAGGTGCTGAGCTGGATGAACAGTCCGACCGAAAGCAACGGCATCCGTGACTTCGCGGAGTGGAAGGACAAGTGCGACGTCAAGGGTCTGCCTCTCTGCTCGCTGCCCAACCCCTGCCCGCTGACGACCAGGTGCGATTTTATTGCGTGATGACAAATGGCGTAAAACGATGCAAGAGGCACCCTCGATTTATTGTCAGTTTGTTTGGTTAGTGCGTGTCACTTAACGATTCTCCAGCAAACGTTGCTCGTAGAAAGCGACTAACTGTGGCGTGCGGCTCTGCCTAGATTCACGACATCTCATGTGTTGTCAAACTCATATCACTAGTCTGAATAGTCAGTTGCCATTGCATGACGTCACAACTCTTTTGTTCCGCAGGGAGCTGCCCGGAGAGAACTTCTACCTGAACACTTGCATGGAGTGCCCCAAGAACTACCCCTGGGTCGAAGACTACACTGGCAACGGCTTCGCGCTCTAAGCTGCGTGTCCTTACTGCGGCCTGGCCTGCGACTCTTCAAACAGCGAGTCCTCACTATGGCCTGACACGGTGGACATGCTGACGGAGTAGGCTGGCGCCTGACTGCACAGAGTACAATGTGATCGCCTGCATGTGACCCCAAAAGGTGCCGCGTGAGTAGGCTCGGTGTTTTCAACTGTGATGGAGACGGTGCGGGCCGGTGTCCCGGTGCCAGCCATCTTCAGAGTGGGCGTCTCCCCGCGGCGTTGGTCCGCCCAGGAGCCTTGTTACGCCACCGGGGCTGGCTCGCGTCCGGCTGGAGCTGGCAGGGCGCACTGGCCAGGAAAGCGCGTCCGCACAGGTCGCCTGCTGCACCATCCGATCGTCTGATAACCTGAGAACGACTGTCAGCCTACCAGCGCCGCAGCTGTCGCCATGGCAACGGCCAGCGGCGGACCAGGTCGGGGAGTCGGGTGCCGGTGTGCCTGACCGCCGGCCGTCCAAGCTGCAGTCGTCTAGTCAAACGGATTGGAAAGGCTCGAAACACCTCCGGAGGGGCATCGTATCACTTTTCTTGCGATGGAAGGCGCCTTGTCGAGTCGGACTGTTTCAAAATCACATCTGTGTGGCTCCGGGTGAGGGGATGCGAGCCTTGGGGAACTGAGACATATGCCATCACGTCTCGCGCTGAAGGGAGGTCCTGCTCTTCATAAGTGTCGCTAGTACCCGTGCGTTTCCTTTTCCGTATCTCATGCTGAAATCAGTCCGTCTTCCTCCACCCGCGCGATCGCTTTGGCCCACCCGATCTTTAGGGATGTTCGTGCATCGCATCTGTCCATGTTATCGCTGCAACATGTGCGCGAGTGTTTAAAATAAAACGAGAGGGTGTCTCGCTCTCTTCACCAGCTTAAACATCTCTGAAATAAATCCTCAATGATGGAGGTAAATAAGTGGCTCTATACCCCTGCATTGTGAAGGTGACCAAAGAGCTCTTGTGAGCTCTAAACTTCCCAGACTGAATTTTCCCAAGACTCCCGCTTGACGAGTACTGAGATACGAAAGGGGCGGGGTGGAAATGGGTCGAACAGAAAGCCAGACGAATGGATTGAACGCCTCAACAGCCATCAGACCGGCAGCACCAGACAGCCGAGCCGGTCCTGTTTGGCCGGATCATTTGTCGATGCTGGGATTGTGGTGTAAGTGATCATCAGTCTGTCAGTGTCAACCTGCCGAGCAGAGGACTCGTGAAGACGCATTCTAGTTTTGAGCCACGCGAAAATATGTGAATTCGCTACGTGCAATGCGTTATAACCCACTCTCTAAAACGACCAGAGCCTGCATTTCGCGAACGTCTGTTTGGCCTGCAGCGTACCCTCCGACTTTACTAGAGCAGCCATAACGTGAGTGTTGTCCGGTACCAGCGGCACATTGTTTGGACTGTAGGCACTTTCAGCGGTTCACTGTCCCTCACAGTTGGGACTGCGAGCTCTTCTCACCGTGCTTTGGTCGGACCCCAGCTTTGTGGTCAGCTATCCATCTTTCAACTGCAGGAATATAAAAACTGCAGACAAACTAAAATGTGAATCGATTTTGGTTGCGTGTTCGACCACGCATCGCCTGCCCAACTCCCTGGGCTACTTTAGCAGCTTGGTATATCTGGGCGCTTCCCAATTTCAGAGCTCCCAAAGCCTTCCCGTTGGAGGTCCGTGCTCCACCGTGCGGCACGCCTCCGCCTGTGCGCATTAGCTGGGATGTTGGTCCTTTGGAGCGCCACCTGTGGCGGACAGACACGCGGTTGTCGGTCGAGAAGCAGCCAGTGCGTGAGAATGGAAGATCACACGGGCCCCGTTCGACCCGAAGTGTGCACCACTAACCGTGCGATCGGGGAAGGGGTCGCACCACGGCCGCAAGCGCGCAAACATCCACCCAACCCTCATTGCAAGGCAATTAGCAAAAAGTGAAAGTGCACTAAACAGGTAATGGTTGGGAGCCACCCGTTGAATAGAGAGAGGCTCCATCTCAGTGTCATCAGCTGTCAAGCAGCAAGTTACCAGAACCTTAAGCCGGGGATGGCCAACCTGTTCTTAAGTCGACACGTCCCAAAAGCACACTTTTCGTGACCAGATTCACCTAAAAACTCTAGCCGCAGGATTACCCTGGTGAATCCAATGTCGGACACAAAGCACGGGGCCAAGCACTGCTGCGATTATGTTGCACATTGGCGCGCAAAACAAGTGATACGTTAACTGAAACGTCTGTTCAGCTGTTTTAACGCCGACAAAGGAAGCAAATACCGTATAATCGTGCTTTGATGTGAAATTAGGTATTTTTCGTGATTGAAGGAGAAAGACATTGGTGTTGTTCCGAAGCGGAACTAAGTAAGGCTCAGAATGGTCACCCCAGCTCACACCCTGACCCTGAACTCTCGGCATCCAAGCTTTCACAAATAATGGTGTAGCCCTGTACTTCCCTCTGACTCAGGCAGCTCTGAGAAATCTTGCATGCGACACCCAATCCCACACAGTGACCAGCAGTCACAAGTTAGGTCTTTTCCCGCCAGGGTATCCAAGGCGACAAGCAGTCCCTTGCTACGCACAAACGAAGATGCAAAGGACACCTGAAACAAACCTCGCAGGCAGAACAGCAAAACACACGTCGCTGTCTGAATGCGACCAGATTTTGAGCTGTTTATGCTGGAATGGAAAGAAAGTTGACCTTTCTGTGCGTTACGTACTAATATCATGTGAAACCTCAGATACAAAAATATCGGCGTAAGGCTCAATACGCTATTATGGTCTGAAATATCAAATGTTGTGACATGACAAGCCAAATATTCGACCGCCCATCCTGGGTCACCATGCATCCGACCGGCATTTCTCCTGACAGCAAACTAGCCTTGGATCCTAGTCAACCCAGTTCCATGAAGCCGGTGATAAGTCCTGGTCCCATCAAGCCTTGATCAGGTTTCAGCTCAATCTTTTTTGGCTGGTTTCCCGGTAAGCTGCATTTAATCGCAGCTTGTCACTACGGGGCGTTGCCGAGTAGACTCTCATACGGTCTTGATGAGATGGCGCCCTTAACGTAGCTCATACGCATTAGCTCCAAACAGCAGTCCGTCCATTTATCGCGGTCACTCACTGTTTACGTGAGTGACCATGCTGAGACAGCGCGTGCCGGCCGGGGCGTCCGCAGCCTGCGCACAGCCGTATCGCCGGGCTGTGGTGTACACGGCGCTGCCAGACCAGCCGTCTCGAGGGGCGGCCTCACCTGGAGCACGCTGGCGGTGCTCCGGGTGATGCCCTAAAGAACACGCTGCTGCGCTTAGGCGGCACATGACGGGCGAGTGCTACTGGCGCGACTCAGCGATCTCTTCAACGCCGAAGTCGTTATTCCGGCAAGTTCGATGTGTCGCATCGCCTCCCTCAGCCCTAAGGTTGTCTGATGGTGCCTCTCCGAAATGGCATGCAAGCGCGCCCAAATATTTATTAGCGTATTCATTAGCGTTGCCCGTGTTTTGACACCAGAAACGTGTTTCTAGAATTTATGGTTTCGGAGCAGCAGTGGTTTTTCGGAACATTGCCCGATGATCTATAGTGGGCGAGGGCGACGCGCAGAAACTGACATTCCGTGGATAGCCAGGCCCGGACAGACATTGTTACATAATGGAGCCATACGTCATAAACGTATGCTAGACACGCATAAAATTGTTCCCCACTGTACTCAGAATTGAAGAAGGAACACAACTGTTCAAGTTTGGTGTCGTTGCGAGGTATTTTTCGTACACGTGAGCATGTCGGGTCGAAAATGTGATTTTCGAGAAAATTTGACCTTTGATCAGGAATAAGTGGGTCAATTATTGAACTGGTAGCATCAAATTTATTACCGATCGCGATATCACGTCAAGACCCATTAACTAATGTTTCTATGGAATTATATCCTTCTTGATTTGGAAACAGCAGTGGGATTTGCATCGACCCTTATCAGTCCTCGTTATAAAAAAACGGCGAGGCAGGGCGAGGGTTAATGCCGTTTATTCACGTGACGCTCTCACCCATGGGCACCAGCTCACGACACCACACTCCTGGACTATCCCACCAAAGTCGCGGGAAGCCGACGGCGATGGTAACGGTGCTAGCCAGTCGATGAGCTTGCCGTGACGCCACGGTCTGAGGCGCGGAGCGGCTCGTGCAACGGAGGCCCTTGAAGGGGCCGGAACGGGAGCGGTCGGGAGAAACGCGGCTCGCCGCCGGTCGGGCCACGTGGGGCAGGGCCCGGCTCCGCATTCCTGGCGCCATCACGGCTCCAGGAAGTGGCGCGCGCTACCGGAGTTTACAGGCGTCTGAGCTGCACCCTTCACCGGAGCAGCGGCACCCTTATGAGGCGTGTTAATGGTCGGCTGGAAAGGGCGGCTGGAGACCGGTGGTAAAAACAGGGAATCGGCCGACCGGCCGAGCCATAGGAAATACATTGATTTGTCGCAGTCCTTTCACCAAGCACAGCGACCAACTAAAAATCGTGGAATATTTCTGTGGCCGGGATGGGATGAAACCTAAAAAGGATGATATGGTGCCGTAGGTTATGGTAGAGGGCCCTTGCGAACAGGCCTGCTGGTGTTGTGTGACGGAATGCATCGTCGCGGAGGCCTGCTGTCAGGTCGTGCACTGTGCGTTAGAATGTTTTGTACAATGATTTGTCGAGGCATTTTCAACACTTTTAAAAATTATATTTTTATATTTCATTTCTGTTTTAACATAATTTTTTCAACAACAACATTTTCAACATTTTTCAATAACAACCGTCACGCCATGTTCAGTGGAAGGCACTTTTGGCACCAAGCGTCGCGCGAAAAGGTAATTTTTGTCGCCAACTTAATCCACCAAGTTCGGACGTTTTATCACCGCTGGACTACCCCACTAGTTCAGTAGGCAACGAATATCGACGTTGCATTTTAGGAACATTTGCTGAAACGGTGCACCATCATTGCAGGCCACCTGCATCTTGCGCTGCATGGATTACGGTGATGCAGGTGGATGGATTGGTATGATAATCTCTGATGATATTTGCATGCAACGATTTTCGTTCAGATGTCATGTGCGGGTCGGCCCGGCATACCTGAGATTTCCATGCCCATATTTGGGAACTTCTACCTTGGCGCTGCGGTGTGAAACGTAGGCTTACTCCGTCAAAGGGTTTAAGGGATCGGCAAGGTGCGCACAACGGGGAAAGAAAAATGGCTTGCGATCCAGACTTAGCCCTTTTAGCTTTTTTGAAAAAGAGCAAAGATGGGAAGATTTTGAACCGAACCAAAGTGGTTCAAAATCTGAAGTGCAGTTAAAACAAATGGCCAATAGCCCACAAGAGGCAGGAAGTATATATCACGAGAAAAAGAGAGAGAGAGAGAGAGATATATATATATATATATATATATATATATATATAGAGAGAGAGAGAGAGAGAGAGAGAGAGAGAGAGAGAGAGAGAGAGAGGGGGGGGGAGAGAGAGAGAGAGAGAGAGAGAAAGAGAGAAAGCGAGAGAGAGAGAGAGAGAAAGAGAGAGGGAGAGAGAGAGAGAGAGAGAGAGAGAGAGAGAGAGAGAGAGAGAGAGAGAGAGAGAGAGAGAGAGAGAGAGAGAGAGAGGGAGAGAGAGAGTGGCATTGTGTGATACATCTCTCAGATGCTAGTCAAAACGCGGCAGGTGTGATGATAATAGGCTATATGATAAATAGCAAGCTTAGCTTTGTAAACGGTTTCACCTACGGCCATGGACTTGAATGAGCGACGGTTGAAGTCAAAGACACCAAGCAGGTCAATTAAAGCTTAGGTTCCAAGCGGCTAATTGTTGCTAACATTTCTGGCGCAAAGCAAAATCTGTTAGCGGTTCATGTCACCTAAGCATGCAATAAACGTTAATTA